TATCCCGTGGTCTAAAAGGAATTTTTAAGAATGTCAATTATAAACTTGTGTATAGTGCTAATAATAAATTACAACAATTATTAGGTAATCCAAAGGATAAAACACCTCCACTGGAAAGGCCGGGTATTTATGAAATTTCTTGTAAAGATTGTAATCAGAAATATGTTCGGCAAACTAGAAGATCAATATTAACTAGATTTAAAGAACATTTAGCTCAGATAAGATATGGTAGATCGGATAAATCTTGCGTTGCCGAACATATTGTTGATAAAGAACATTGTATAGATCTTAATAATTTAAAATTAATTAAACAACTCTCAAATTACAGGCAATTAGATGCATATGAAAGCATCAGAATTAATAAATGTAAAGATAGTATGAACAGAGACAACGGTCCAATTCCTTCAAGTTCTTTGTTCCTACTACTCTAGTGGCGGAAATTTTGCCACACCCACTCGGTGCCCACTGAGCGAGTATATAAACGCTCAACTTGTATATTGTACTTTAGTTTATAATCATCTACTGATGATGCTAACATGGTTAGCGAAACGCACGTCCAGTGAAAAAGTAAAAGCGTTTTGGTGTATTGTGGTAATTTAGTGTTTTATTTTGCCATAATATTTAGCTTATAAAACAATAAACTTTTGATTTCTAACCACAGTTTCTCTTGACGGATCATAATTAAAGAGTAAAATGACATTCTTCGCAAATTTTTAAGTATAATTAGTGGAAAAGTTAAAGTTTTTCCACTAATTGAAGATTACTACCACTAATTTTAACGTTGTGAATGCTTACATTGATATTAGAGGAACAAACTTCTACGCTAATTGAAACCACTAATTTTTTCCAATAATTTTGAGGTTCTGAATGAAGCTTAAAAACGAGACGTAACTTAACTTTAAAATCAAAAATAAAAAAAAACTTTCATGGTTGATACGTGAACATAAAATTATTAATAATAATTTGCTGTTCAGAGATTAATATTCTTTATTAGCATAAAATTCCAATAAAATTGAACGTAGTCTGCAGTTTCAATAAGGGCATAATTTGTCTTATTACATTGATACATGTGGATTGAAAATTACTATGCCAAACGTGTAAGAGGTGTATTGACGCATTTGAGCGTGCGTGCTATAAACATTTATGAGAAAATTAAGCATCAATATTCATTAGAAAACTCGCCTTCCTATATTTCATATTTGTACAGGTTGGGTCAAATTCGACGCTTTTAAATGGAAACACCCTTTTCTATAGGAGATAGACGAAAACTAATATCGGTGTCTGGAGCTCAATTTTTATCAAAAACATAATGGTAAAAACCGCATATCGATATCTGTTACCGTTTCGGAGTTACGGGGTGTTTCTCAAAAATATGCATATCTAACAAATCGCTCTAACTTTTTTGCTATGGAAAATTATGTATTTTTATGAAAACATTTCCAAAGCACCTTTTTACGTAGAATTTAATGGTTTAAGTATAATTTTTTTAAAATTAATATTTTAAAAATTATCAACAGAAAATTTTATTTTTTATATGGGAGACACTGTATATTTTTAATTTATTGAAAAGAATTTAAAATTACCTTTCCAAAAATATAACACACTTGATATTTTTTTCGATTCCTCTTCGAGATATAGAGTATATAAAAATTCGCCCGCTTTAAATAAGTAGGCTTTGAACGGCACCGGCTGTAATGCAAACAAATTCTAGCTGTGAGCATCAATTAAACCGAAAATAATATTTGCTATAAGAGATGCAGAATTTTATAACAATTTAAAATATATTTAACCAACATCAACACTTTTTAACTATATCTAATAACAATAAAAATAAATAGCAAACCAAGACATGAGATTTTGCTACAGGTTTCGACATATCGACCGCCTTCTGTTATGGACAGACGGGGCAGTTTTTGAACATTTCTGGCGGAATTAATTAACTCAGTGGGGGTGAAAGATACCCTCTGATAACTGCTAAGTATTTTTAATTCTTGTCTAGATTATACGGAAGAATAAGGAACCTTTATTCTTCCGCAAATATATCCATAGGATTAGATCCATGGGCAAGTCAGGCGGCCTCGACGGCCAACGGAAGGGTTCAGAGGCGGTGCGTCGGCTTGCTGGAAAAATATGTTTTCGAGTTCCCTTAAGGGCATATCATCAATAAGGGGTCCAAAGCCTACTAGTTAAAAGTGGCGAACTTTTAAAAATTCTGTATTTCGAAGGGGATTATAACAAAATATCAAGTGTGCTATATTTTTGAAAAGGCAATTTTAAATTCTTTTGAGTTAATTAAAAATATAGGGGGTGTCCCAAATAAAAAAATAATTTTTCTGTTGATATCTCTTAAATTATTAATTTTAAAAAAATTATGCTTAAACCATTAAATTATCCGTAAAAAGGTGCTTTGGAAATATTTTCATAGAAATACAAAATTTTCCATAGCAAAAAAGTTACAGCGATTTGTTAAAAATGCACATTTTTGAAAAACACCCCGTAACTTCGAAACGGTAACAGATATTGATGTGCGGTTTTCACCATAATGTTTTTGATGAAAATTGAGCTCCAGACAACGATATTAGTTTTCGTCTATCTCCTATACAAAAGGGTGTTTCCATTTAAAAGCGTCGAATTTGACCCACCCTGCACAGCACAAATTAAAAGGTTATGTTAACAAAGGAAAAACGGGGTTAGGGGTTATATTCATACATATAAAGATTTTACACAGTTAACTTTATTTTTTTTATAGAAAATGTACACAATTTAAAGTAAAAATGTTTAACGTCTCCTTTCCATAACTACTACTACTACTACTACTGCCATTACTCGCTGACGAGTATTTGAGACGCATCAGAAGATGGTTAAGCAAGGCGTTTTATTTCATGAGCTTTTCTGTGATTGAAAAGCCCGATACCTGATGTTATCTCTCTTCCGCACTCTGGACATTCACAAATCTCATTGCTGTGTTGCCTCTTTACTTTTTGGTTGTCGCTGTTAACTGAGTTTACAATTCTTCTTCATAGCGTTCTATTATGCGCTGCTTCCTCCCACTGATTCTGCATGTTTATCCTCTTAAATAAATAAAAAATAGTAAATTATTCTACGGACATTTAATAATCCGTTTCAAGAATTTGACTTCTATTGGGCGTTTTACTCCCTAAGTTTCAAGAACTATCACCCAGGATAGAGGCTGGCATTGACCCTATTTTGTTTCTGGTGTTTATCAACGATATTGCAAATCTAGACATTAGCGGTAAAATCTGCCTCTTTGCAGACGATAAGAGCTTGGAGCGATAACCACTTGGAGCGGCCCAGATGTTGCGGCACTATATGATACTATATCCAGTGACTTACGCACCATTAAGTCTTGGTGCGATTCTAATCTCCTATGCCTCAACTATCAAAAACTAAAGTTTTGTCATATAAAAGTACTATACTACTACCTTAGGACTTGTTGTAGACAACTCGTTATAATGGGACTTTCACATCGAAGCTCTATCAAAGAAACTAGGCGCTGCCTGTTTTGCGCTAAGATCCGTTTCTAAGGAACTTAACTTCTCAACCTCTAGAATAGCCTATTATGCCTTTTTTGAGTGACATCTTCGTTATGCCCTTCCATTCTGGGGTACTTGCTGCGCAACAAAATTTGATCGTGTTTTCAGACTTCAAAAGAGAGCAGTTCGATATTTATTGGGACTGAACAGTAGAACTCACTGCCAGAATTTCTTTAAAAATTTGAAAATACTGACTCTTCCTTCTTTATTCATTTTTGAATCCGTTTGCTTAATCCGCAAGCACATATCTGCTATTCCCGAAAGGCCATCTCATAACTATGATGTTTAATTATGAACAATTTTGATCATCTCACACACTGGTCAAAGGTCAAGTATTTAATATTTTATAACTCTAAAACTTTAAAATTATATCTATTTACTGCGTACTGTTCTAAAATTGACCATGTATATTCTTTTTGTAATTTTAAAGACTTACATTTTTTTGAATTGTATTATTTGTATTGTGTATTTTTTTGTTGTTTGTATTTTTTTTGCGATTTTGTTGTTTGTGAGTGCTTTGTCGATGAAGCTGTTTTGGCTTTTTGTACAATAAAGTAACTTTTTGTACAATAATGGAGTGAATTTCATAAATGATCGCTTTACTACACGTGTGTTACTACACATATTATATAGTCACTTACTAGCGAAAAGTTGTTCCATTATTTCACTCGATTTTTGCCGAGATCTACCGCACGCTACACAACCAACTATTTTAGAGTCTTTTTCGATAAATCGCGATAGTGTCACTGTTAATTTAAGTTCTGCCACAATTTCCATCTAGATTTACTACCTTTATACAACTATCAGTAGTAGAATAAATAATAAATAACATAAAATAAGCTCCGTAAAGACTGACAAATCGACAAAATTTCAAATTAAATTCAAATATGTCAAATGAATCGCCAAACAGAACTGTCAAGGATCCCCACCCTAGAGTCTTTTTTCCGCCCACCATGCATGAATACATGGATAGCATTATATGCTCCTTCCTTAGTCTTCTTATTCAAAGGGTTAACCGGTTGATATTTTTACTCAAAATTATATTTGTTTATAAGCGTTTATTTAATTTATTTTGAATTTATTAATTTTCGTTAGTTGATGATCTGCATCACTTCTTTACTTGCTTTTTGTAAACCAGTGTAATAATATTATACAAGACAATAGCACAGCCCAATAACAAAAGGTTTTTATTTTAAAGCTTGTTTTTTAGAATGACTGAATTTAATCCTAATTTTGGATATTAAAAAATGTATTTATTCCAGAACCCAACCTAAATTCACCGGAAACGGGCACGTGTAAACCCTCGAAAATATTTTTGTTTACAATGAAAAGTAGTAATAACCGATAATTGACACGTTTGAGGCCGTCGCGTCGGTGAAATTTTGAATCAAATTTATAACAATAGTAATATGCAAATAACTTATTTGGTCTTTTTCTTTGTTTTAGCTATAATACTGTATCAGATGGGCGGATTTGGAGTTACAGCTGGAGCACATCGTCTATGGTCGCATAGATCATATAAGGCGAAATGGCCTCTGAGAGTCATCCTTACTTTCTGCAATACTCTGGCTTTTGAGGTAAGAATTTGAAGATATTACTTATTATTTTAAATTATATACTGTAGAGAAATCAATAAAAATAAGGGGTAGTATATTTCTAGCCCAGAAACACGATTATGAGTTTCTTTTTGCGAAAAAAAAATTTGAAAATTGAGAATTTCTTAAAAAAATTTGGAAATTTTTTTTCTTTTTCAGTTAAAATCATAATTTCTTGATAATATGGCAACATAAATAGGTTAAATTTTCAAGAGAGAAAATCCAGAAAAGATCCAGTGGTTCTCAAAATAAGCAAAAAAATATTTTTATTTTGGATTTATTTGAAAAACGATAAAGAGAAAATATATTTCTTTTATCGATATCTATCAGCCCTGAAAATATTTGCACTTACCACAAGTCTCACCGGGTATATCTATGAATCTTCTTCTTCCTCTTCTTCTTTTACTTATTTGAGATCTAGTCGATCTGTTAATTTTAATTTGGTTGCCTCTGTACGTCTTCCCGGCTGTCTCTTGTCCATAGGTTTCCCTTCAAGAGCTATGCATGGTAGCCTGTTTTCTTCCATGCGTTTTTCGTGTGCGAACCATTGTCTTTTTCTTTGCCTACCCCATCTCACTACGTCCTGTATTCCACATTGTTGTCTGATATTTGTGTATCTAATTCTGTCGCTTCTAGTCTTCCTCATTATGGTTTTTAGGTTCTTCATTTCAGCTACTCTTAACATGCTTTTGGTTTTGTTTGCGTCCTCTCGGATTTCTATGCCATATGTCATTATTGGTCTGATGCAGGTCTTATAAATTTTAGTTCTGCTGTCTGTTCGCATGAAGGGGGTTTGGCTATTTGCCTCAGACATCTTGATATGGCCGTTGCCCGTTTTATCTGGCTTCTTCTTTCTCTGGATCATGGTAGTGTGACATATCTATTCCTAGGTATGTGAACTGTGATACTTGCTCAATAATATTGTTTTCTACTTCCAGTTTGTATCTTACCGGTTTGCATCTTACTTATTATCTATGAATCTATTTCCCGATTAAAAAATAAATGTTACGAAGTTCAGATTTTTTTATGAGCTCATGCTGCATAGACGTTTATATTTGATTAATAGGTACATTGTAATATGTATTTAACAATTACCTAGAATTCCTAATAGTAAATTTAGGATTGAAAATATTAGTTAACTCTTATAATAAATAAATTTATGTAATTACATAAATCATCATTTTATAACAATACAGACATTAACTGTAGATTACATATTATAAGTAATAAAATACAGGATGTGCTTGTTATACGTGTTTCTTGTTTCATTTTCCATTGTTTTTTTTAATTTTTGGATAACGTATAGCTATATTTTATATGTTTATGTTCAAAACTACAATGTCGATAAAAAATTGCATTCAAAATGAAAAACTTTAGCAGCTTTATCAGCTTATCGGAAATATATACGTGTAAACATGAAAAACAACATAACAATTATTATACAGGGTGAGTTTCCTACGATGGTCTCTATGGGTATCTTGGAAACTACTGGAGATAGAGAGTCGGTTAAATGGGGAAAGAATTGCAGTTTTGTGGGGTCATAAATATGCGTCTTTCAGATTTATGAAAAAGTTCATGGCTTACTAGATATTTTGAAAAAAACAAATTTCGGCTATTTTAAAAATTGTCCCTAATTCCATTATAAGCTATTTTAGACAAAAAGTTTTCCGATAAAAGTTGTAGTTAATCACATCCTTAATGAGATCGTGTCCTCTGTTTCTTTCTAAAGCCTGTCATTTTTGACATATCACACAAACATATATTTTTTTAAATGGAAACCATAGTTGGCCATGACTTCATAAAAAGCGGCATTTTTTAAGTTTTTAGCGATATAAGCTATAATATGTTTTCTTCGAAAAATTACTGAGTTATAGCCAATTCTTATCATTTTTAAACAATTTCACTTAGTTAGCCATGGAAACAAGTTCAATCGCCGTTACTCTCAGAAATGTCAAGCTGTCACATTCAAACTTTGTAAATTAAAATAAACAAAAATTGTATATATGAATTTCTCAAATGAAAAAAAGCGTGTAGATACTCGCGCATCAATAGAGTGTTCCAAAATGACTTTCATTATGCCCCCCCCCCCCGCATAATGAAAGAAATGTTAAGCATTATTGATATCATAATAATACAAACTCAGGGATAGGAAGAGGTGGACTAATTGCATGGGCCTCCTCGATCACCTGACCTATCCATTTTAGATTTTCTTATGCGGTATGGTTAAAAAAAAGGTTTACAAAAGAACTTATGATTTAAGAGAGGCACTCGAAGTGGCCGTACGAGAGAAGTTTAATTAAATCAACCGGTGCTTTTGTGAGAATAGGTAATAATTCAGTTTTAAAAAGATGTAACTCAAAACAATGGAATTTTTGAAAATTTTCTAAAATAACTTAAAGTGTATGCAGTGACTCGACTGCAGCGATATTATTATTTTAAGTTTTAGTTTGTGTAATGTAAATTCTAAAGAACCATTAAGTAATATATTCTGACTTTTTATAAGTTATAAATCACAAAAGAATAAGAATGCCATGCAATCTAAGTGAAATTAGTCAAGAGAAATAAGAATTGGCTATAACTAAATTTACCTTTTCTAACAAGTCTTGAAAAACGTTCTCTAAAAAACATAACATTCACCGGTCAACGTATCCTCGAAAATGTATGGTCAAGAAAAGTTGAACCAATAATCTTACACGCTTTTCTTCATTTGAAAAATTCATATTCACAATTTTTGTTTATTTTAATTTACAAAGTTTGTATGTGGCAGCTTCACATTTATAAGAGCAAAGACGATTGTTTCCATGGCTAACTAAGTGAAATTATTTAAAAATGATAAGAATTGGCTATAACTCGATAATTTTTCGAAGAAAACATATTATCGCTTATATCGCTGAAAAGCTTAAAAAAGTCATGGCCAACTATGATTTCCATTTAAAAAAACATATGTTTGTGTCGAATGTCGAAAATGACAGGCTTTAGAAAAAAACGGAGGACACAATCTCATTAAGGATGTGATTATCTACAACTTTTATCTGAAAACTTTTTGTCTAAAATAGCTTATAATGGAATTAGGGACAATTTTTAAAATAGCCGAAATTTGTTTTTTTCTAAATATCTAGTAAGCCATGAAATTTTTCAAAAATCTGAAAGGCGCATATTTATGACCCCACAAAACTGCAATTCTTTCCCCATTTAACCGACTCTCTATCTCCAGTAGTTTCTCTCTATCTCCGAGATACCCATAGAGAACATCGTAGGAAACTCACCCTGTATATGAGTTGGTATAATTTAATAAAAAGAACATAATATACAGCCTCGTATTTAGTGATAATAAAAATGAGAATACAAGATCAAAGGGGTATCAAGTTAGCAATGGAGTTTTTATTTGATTTATTTCATAATTATTAATTAAGCTTGGGTGATTTTTGAAGGAGGCAAAGATTAAGATAACTTTTTGACTTTGAATTTATAATTGTTTCTAATCGGTCTTAAAGGACGGACGAGGTTATAAAATTTGGAACTTGCTTCATACCTAATTAGGCTTATTTTTACATTACCGCCGTCTTAAGTAAAAATACCTTAAAGCTTCATTTAGAACCTCTAAATTAGTGGAATAAATTAGTGGTTTCAATTAGCGTAAAAGTTCAGAAATTTCAAAGTAAGTGTTACAGTGAAAGTCGGAAATTCAGTGATTGTTAACATTCACTAGGAAATGCTAACAATTACGCATTGGACCAGTGAATGTGGTATTTTAAAAAAAAATTGTTGACTCTTCCTAGTAATTTCTAACATTCACTAGTGAAAGTAACATTTTCTAAAGGTTGACAGTAAAAGTTATTCTATTGTACAGGGCGAGTGTGGTGAGGAAGAATATTCTTGGAAGTTAGAACAAATAAAACTTTTAAGGATATTGGATCACTTCAATATTCAAGCTGATCCACATATTTCAAAATTACAATTTACTTCTTTAGTATATTTATTTAAAATTAACGACATAATCTTCTAAAAATATTAAAAAAAAAGAGAAAACATAGTAAACATTTTGAAGTGTATGTTCAAAAGAATTAAAAAAAACATTTATAAACATAAGATTACTTATTGGTACAAGCTGTTTTTTAATAAAGTTCTTCACCGTGGACAAAATAAAGTATGCCCGAATTTTCTTCAACGGGAGTTATTTGTTTTTTCAAACCCGCTACTTTAAGCTATACGTTCCTTAATATATTTTTCTCTTGCATACTTAACTTTTGCTATGATTTCATTATATTCCAAAAAAAATTAAAAACAAGCATTATTACATTCTTGCGAGTGCTTAATTTGGCTTAATTTTTGACAGAAATTTCCTTCTATAGGGAAAATACCGCACATCACTTTTTACAACGATAACAAAACAATTATTATACATGACCACAAAAAAATAATGCAAATTTATGCCAGATGTCCGTCAACGTTGCCAACGTTTAGCCCAATTTAATATCATCCTTATATTGCCTATTATTCAACTTATCCTTATTTATTCTTATATTTTACAACATGCGGTAACCGCGCTAACTGAATCTTTCAAACTCACTGCTATTGTCCAGGGAATGCTAACATTCACTGGTATAAGTTGGTTTCAAAAGTAGCTGTTAAACTTTTATTGGCGTAGTCTTAGCAAATCAGTGAATGTGAGCTTTTACTAGTAATTGTTAACAATCACTGACTTTTACTGTAGCATAAATATTCAGAACGTTAAAGTTAGTGGTAGACATTTTCAATTAGTAGAAAAAGTTATCAAACTTTTGACTTTTCCACTAATTACACTTGAAAATTTGAGACAAATGTCATTTTGGCCTTTGATTAGGTATCTATCGTCAGGAGAAATTGTGGTTAGAAATCAAATGTTGATTGTTTTATAAGCTAAATATTAGTCTTTCTCTATGGATACAACTGACTATCGCAAACTATTGCTAGGATATTCTATTAATTTTAATTTTAGTAGAGCTTTAAGCTTCATTCAGAACCTCGCAGTGGTAAAACAGAGTATATGAACATTAAGTTAATAATCCAGATGAATGAAAATCTCTATTTCTTATTTTTCTATTTCAGAATTCGGTAATAGAATGGTCCAGAGACCACCGCGTCCACCACAAATACTCAGAGACGGACGCCGACCCCCACAACGCCAAACGCGGTTTCTTTTTCTCCCACATGGGCTGGTTGCTCTGCAAGAAACATCCGGAGGTCAAGAGCAAAGGCAAACAGCTAGACATGTCCGATTTGTACGCCGACCCCATCATCAGGTTCCAGCACAAGTACTACATGATCCTGATGCCTTTGATCTGCTTCATCCTGCCCGTACCCATCCCGATGTTCTTGTGGGGCGAAACGTTCGTCAACGCCTATTCTCTGAACATTTTGAGATACGTGTTCACGCTGCACGCCACGTGGCTTGTGAATTCCGCCGCCCATATGTGGGGTGACAGACCTTATGACAAGTAAGTTTACTTTTTAAGGGTTTTATGAACTTTTTTCATATTTTATTTAAATTTTGATTTCCACTTTCCATATTTAAGTCCCACTGCATTCTGCCACCCTTGTTCGCTCCCTACTAGACATTTTGACCACTTTTGCCACAGAAAATTTATTTTCCGTCCTATTATAGAAGTCCACCCTTGGTTTCTGCCATCTACAATAATTGAACAAGGTGTGTTCGGGGTCGCCTTGAGCTTCACAGTAATCACAGTCCGGAGTGTCGATTTTCTTTCTAATGTATAAATATAGTCCGTCTAGAAAGTATCCGGAAAAAAGGAAACAAAATTACAATTATCGATATATATTTTTAGGACTTGAGTTAAAAAAAAATATAACAAATTATTGATTGTATTTACTTATACAACATCCATCTAACTCCAAACACTTAACTAAACGTCCAGGTACACCCGAAACTAGGTCCACACCAAAATGTTCACTGGCGGTAGTCCAGGCCTGTAAAACTGAGCGAATCAAATCTTGTTTTCATCAAGCTGGAAACTACTTTCTTCAGAAATAAAAACATTATTAAAATTATCTTCTTGGAAACGTTGACAAAAATCCATTCTTCGCTGCCTTTGTAGAGGTGTTATTGCAGGGATTTTTTTTGGCTTCCTTGATATGTAGCCTTGTTTTTTTCAGCGGAGCGTTTCTGGACACACTTTTAATTTTCGCTGACTTCCAAATCTGTTAGCCAATTTGCGAAACCCTAGGCGCGGATTCTGTCGTCCTAATGCCACTATCTATCTATCTATCCAGCCTCTTCGGTCCATCGTTGGACATAAGCCTCCCCCAATCTCTTCCACTCTTCCCTCTCTGTCGCCATACTCATCCATCTTGTACCTGCATGTTTCCTCAGATCGTCCGCCCATCTCATCTGGGGTCTTCCTCTACTCTTCTATTCTCCCAGGGCCTCCAGTTTACGATGCATTTGTTCCATCGATCATCCTTCTGTCTGACATTGTGACCGGCAAACTTCCATTTCAATTTTGCTACTTCGGCCTTATATGTAGCATTTGTCTTTCCATAGATCTTTGAGATTTGGTTACCTTATCCATATTTGATTTTGTCAGTGTCCAGGTCTGGGATCCGTAAGTAAGTACAGGGAGTACACATATACTTTGGTTTTGAGGTACTGTGGATACCTTTTGTTTTTTCATATTTAACTTAATTTTCCAAATGCTGCCCAGGCCAGTCTTACTCGTCTCTTTATTTCAGCTGTTTGGTTTTCTTTTTTCAGTTTAATCATTTGTCCCAGATATATATATACTCTTCAACTTGTTCTATTTTTTCTTGGTTTATTCTGGTTGTTATGTTTTCATCTGTGTTTGTTATGATTTTAGTTTTAGTGTAGTCCATATTTAGGCCTATTCTTCTAGCTGCTGTATCCAGTTCTTCCAGCATTTCTACCAGTTCTTCTTTCTTTTCTGTTACTAAGGCAATATCATCCGCATATCTTAGGTGATCCAAGTATTGCCCACATATTTTGATACCTTTTTCTTCCCAGTCTAAATTTTTGAAAACGTCTTCTAATGCCTGGTTAAAGAGTTTAGGGGATATTGTATCACCCTGTCTGACACCTCTTCCTATGCGAATGGGCTTTGTTCCTTCGTGGATTTTAATTGTTGTTGTTGCTTCGCTATATATGTTGGCTATTAAGTCTGCGTATCTGTAGTCTATCCTGCTATTTATTAAGGAAGATTTTACTGCCCAGTGCTCAATACTATCAAAAGCCTTTTCAAAATCTACAAATGCAATATATAGTGGGATGTTGTATTCATTGGCTCGTTCTATTAGTATTTTCATAGTTAATAAGTGGTCAACTGTACTGTATCCTTTTCTGAAGCCTGCTTGTTCTTTTGCTTGGTATCCGTCAAATTTCGTTGTTAGTCTATCGGTTAATATTTTCGTGAAGAGCTTATAAATTACGTTAAGGAGTGTTATAGGACGATCGTTTTTTAGATCTGCCCTATCACCTTTTTTATGTAGGATGATGGTTATAGATTCCTTCCAGTCGTTTGGGATTATTTTTTCTATTAGGATTTTATTCAGGAGAATATGAAGAGTATTAACTACAGCTTTTCCGCCGTACTTTAGCATTTCTGTTGTTATTCTGTCTTTTCCAGGTGATTTGTTGTTTTTCATTTTCTTCAATGCACCCTTAATTTTCGATTTGCTTATTTCAGGTTGTAGTTCTGAGTTTACGTTTCTTATTTTTGTTTTGAGTTTCTTTACGGTGTCTACCGGCGGTTCCCGTTTTGTTTCGTATAGAACATCTGTGTGATTTTTATAATATCATCATAATGGCCTAATGCCACTAACGCGTTTAAATTGTTTTCGCTAATCTTACGAGGTCTTCCTGAAACTGATCCGTGCTTCATATCTGTGCCATTTTTTATCCTCTTTATTGTCTCATATACTGCACTTTTTCCGAGTTCAGTCAATTGCACTAATTTTTTTAACGTTTCGAACACCTTTTCTATACAAATATTGCACCATTTCTCTTTTTTTTTACTTGCGACATTATTTCTCAAATCTTAAGCCGGTTTACAATGAACGATATTTGACAGATGGTGTTTCCATGCGATTTTGGTCATAGCCTACTATCGGTACAACCTACGTGATGGATTACTGTTGTCTTAGAGTGTTACAGAAAAAAAAATACATCAAAATTAGGAGAAATATAAAATTCCGGATACTTTCTACCGGATACTATCCCTCACCATAAGACCGCGTTATCCATTTTTGCAGATTCAGAATAAGTGTAAATGTCCACCTTCCATGACTTCCACCTGTCATTCTTCCTGTTAGTTTTCCATGAATTGTACTCTGGTTTCCTTTTTTGTCGATCTGTTGCAGACTTCATACCTCTCTTGTCTCATGAGATCAATCGGAGGAATTAACACCAGGACCCTCCCCTGATATAGTTCGGTAGGCGCTGCAAACTCTAATTCACAAATCTACCCGTAATTTCTTTAGTTTTACCAGTCTATTCTGACTTTTATTAGCTGTATGTCATGTTGGTGCTGCATACAATACTTGAGAGTGTCCGAAGCTTGCTAAAATGCGTCTTATAAATGCTATGGGACCTCTTATTGTCGTTATTCAATTTGATAATGAAGCTACGGTTTCTTCGCTTTAACCACTACCTTATTTATGTGTTCTCCAAAAGACAACTTTGTGTCTAGCCAGATCCCCAAATATTTTATTATTTTAGACGGTGATATTCCTGAAACGTTGAAGGTAATTGGTAATTGTCTTGTGTGATACTAACTGAAGAACGGGTTCTTTCATCCATCTTTACTGATGCTTCCAAAACCAATACGGGAACAGGGATCGGAGTGTTTGGGCCGAGAGCTAAATACTCCGAACCAATGGGCACTTACCCTAGTATCCTACAGGCAGAAATCTACGCTATCGAAAGATGCGTACAACTTATCTTAGATAGGAACTATCGGAAACAAGAAATAGCCATCTTGTCTGATAGTCAAGCAGCGTTAAAAGCGATCAACTCAGTATCAATCAATTCGAAATTGGTCAAAGAATGCATAGAGAAGCTGAATAAATTAGACAAAGAAAACAAAGTCCTCCTACTCTGGGTGCCTGATCACCAAGGGATAGAAGGCAATGAGAAAGCAAATAATCTAGCTAGGAAAGGAGCGAACACTCCACTAACTGGACCAGAACCGTTCTGCTTTCCAAGTGGTAACCAACTCAAGGCGGAACTCAAGAACTTGGAAGATTCCATCCGCAACCTGGAATGGAAATCTTGCAACGGTCTAAGACACTCGAAGAAGTTTCTGAGGGCTTATGATCAACAAAAATCACAGATCTTCCTGGGTTTAAGTAAGAACAATCTTCGGATTGTCACGGCGTTTTTAACAGGACACTGTCTCCTCAATGAACACCTCAGTAGATTGAAACTAAGAAGAAACGACGAATGCAGATTCTGTGGGGAAGATGGGGAAACACCAGTACACCTCATCACTGAGTGCGCCGAGACGACAACTATTTGTGCCATGAATTTTGGTACGACTGATATTGGAGATGGAGAACTACCCTCTATAAAACCGTCCCAGATACTGGCTTTTGTCAAAGCCCTGGGACTGTATGATGAGTTATGACTCAAGAAAGGGGGACACAATGGATCTGTAAGGTCGCAGTGATTAACCCCCCTCCCACTCATTCTACATTCTACATTCATCCATCTGACTACTTTCGCTTTGCCAGGATTTCCTAAATTTATTAAGATGTCTTCGTTTCACAATAACTATAGCAATATCAACTGCGAAGCCAATTAAAGTTACACCACCTGACATATCCAGCTCCCATAAACCGTCAAATAACACATTCGATAAGGTTGGTCCCAGAATGGATCCCTGTGGCATTCCATCATAGATATCGACTTATTTCCTGTTTTCGTCAGCTTCAAGTATTATCTTTCTTCCGTTAACAGAAATTTCTTCATATTGAGATTCAATCTTAATGTGTAAGACCTATCTTGTCGTGGTTTACACAATCTTAACTTCAATTCAACAAATATCCTAAAATGAAACCTATTCTTAGATGCACAAAGCCATGATCTTATTCGCTATTTTTTTACAGGTACATCAACCCATCGGAGAATAAAATGGTCTCCGTTTTGGCTTTGGGCGAAGGATGGCACAACTACCATCACACCTTCCCGTGGGACTACAAAACCGCCGAACTGGGACAGTACTCCACCAATTTCTCTACCGCTCTCATCGACATGTTCGCCAAAATCGGCTGGGCCTACGACCTGAAGACCGTCTCCACCGATATGATCAAAAAACGCGTGGAGAGAACAGGCGACGGATCGCACAACCTGTGGGGATGGGGCGACAAGGACCAGCCCAAGGAGGACTACGAAGATGCCACCATACTCAACAAGAAATCGTCCTAGATGTTTGTGTAGTATTAAGCAAACCCATAAACATTATTTTTCTAATTTAACAAGTGAGATGACGTAGGTAGTTAAGTAGGTTCGCCGAAGCTAGTGTTGGTTTCGGTTCCAAAGTAATTCGACTGATAAATATGACAAATTATTAATAATAAATATAAACAGGCTCACCGGCACGAAAAACAGACATCCTAAAAATTTTATGTATTTTAAAGTTTTATTTATTGTGTTCTAGGGATTTTGATGATATTTTAAGCAATTTGTTGCTAAATTATTTTGCTTTTTAGTGTCTCTTCCTAAATTAAACAAAAAAGATTCCATCTGTCAATTATAAAAGGACAAAATATTTAAGGTGTCCGTTTTTCGTGCTCGTGAGTGTATTATAAAAGTAAAATAATAAAAAAAATGAAAAAAAAAACAAAATGCAAAAAATATAAAAAGCATGTATATTGTATATAGAAAAAGACTATAAAAATATATTTTTATAGATGGCTCTCTATAGATTGGGGAGAGAAAGGAGATACAGGAATATAGATTTTACGTTTTAAGATAATTATTTATGTGCGTGTGTTTGTAATTATTTCTTTATTTGTTTAGTTTGTGTATTTTTTATCTTGATAGAGATGATATTGTGTACCTAAAATAATTGTTTCTCTATAACGACACCTCATTTTCAATCAGTTGTGATACATAATATATAGTTTAGAATAATGAATAAAGACTATTGCAATAAAATATATTTGTTTAATTTAATTAATCATGATAGTAAGGGTACATACAGTGAAAGAATACAGGGTGGGCCACTAAAAACTTACAATGGCTATAATTTTTAAACCAAAAAAGATATCAAAAAAATAAAAAATATCGTTTCTATGATATCGAAGGGGAATACATATGACGTATTTTTTGAACCACCCCGACCTACCCCTTAGGCGGCACCCCTACTCACTTGAAAATCTTAAATGGCAATACCCCACTTGTGGCGCCTTTTTGGAAAGCCCATGAAAAATCCTAAACAACGATCATAACGTTATTAGGGTGAAATTGAAAAATTACCCCGCAATTATAACGCAAATTCTTCCTTATCATCTATTTTTTTACTTTCAACAAACAGGAATCTTGCACCGGCATATCTTTGCGTTTTGCACTTCTATCGATTTTCGATCGTTTGCAAATTTGGTGGTATTTTAAACGTTTATTTCATTCGCTTATTTGAAAGAAAAATGGTTTATACTGTGGAAGAAAGAATTCAAATAGTTTTTCTTTGTGGTGCTGAAGGTATGTGTTATTTGAGAAAAAACAATACACTCAACATAATTATTATTTTAACATAATTTTACCTGACACATATTTTTTACACCAATAATGACATTTGAAATATTTATTGCATAGAAATCTGAGAACAAACAAAACCAAAAGCATGTTAAGAGTCGCTGAAATGAAAAACCATAATGGGTAAAACTAGAAGAGACAGAATTAGAAACACAAATATTAGACCACAATGTGGAATATAGGACGTAGTGAGATGGGCTAGGAAAAAAAAGACAATGGTTCGTACACGTAAAACGCATGAAAGAAAACAGGCTACCACACATAGCTCTTGTAGGGAAGTCCGGGGTAAGAGACAGCCAGGAAGACCTCTAAAAAGATGAAAAGACAGTTGGCAGTCCATCTCCCAAGAACTCCTACCGACGCAATCTTAAAATTTCAAATAAGTAGTAAAAGAAGAAGACATATTTATCATAAACTTTTAAATTTCACGATTTTAATTGCAATAATTAGGAATCATTTTGATTTAATACAGTTTTTAACACATTTAATACATTTATTTTACACCTACGACTGTGTTTCCTTCTGAATCTGGCCTGGCACCCAGTACTTGTAATTTTAGTATAATTTAGTTTCCTCTAGTGAAATACGATCGAACTTACGAGTACAACCCAGCTCTCCAATACAAGCTGCCGTATGCAGGGGTTTTTGTATAATAGCTTTTTAGAAAAACTGTTTATAACCAAAAAACGGTACGTTGCTCGAAATACGAATAATAGTAGCTGTTACAACAACTATAGATGAATAAATAAACAAAAAGAAAACAATTCCCTAACAAATATTAAGACTAATTTTATTGTTAGATTGCACTAATTTAAATACTATATTTAAATAAATTTGTTAGTTCGTAAGGCTGAAATTTAAATAGATTATTAATGTATGTTCATATTTATCACAACCATGTTGAGTATCAATCAGTCTTGGCAGAAGCAACCGTCCTTCGCATGGTCCAAGATCCAGTCGAGGTACCTCGTCACTCTGGTATATACACCTGGGTAGCCAGGTCTCGCACAGCCGTTACCCCATGACACCACACCTAAATAATAAAAATAAATATTACAATTCGAAATTGTAGTTTTTTTAACACATTCATTTTAGTAAAAGACTAGATTTTTGAATGGTAAATATAAACTCACCGGCACGAAATTCCGCCACCCTAAAATTTTCACCAAGTTTGATGTTTCATAACTTTTGAACTTGTAATGCGATTTTTATGATTATGATATTAGTTATATGGTATTAATCAGCCTGTGGAGAAAACGGGATGGGCATTTTGGATAAAAAACACTTTTCTGTAATCTTAGATATATTCCTGACATTTCTGTTTTTGAATTTTCATTTGCTTTGGAGATAAAAAATTAAATGCAAAAGGTCAGAAAATCCAATGTTATTAAAATGGAAAAAGTATCATGATTCCGGCACGGTTTAAATTAAAAATTAAGAGCTTGTTTACGTTGGATAATTTTTTTAGAACAACAAACTAAAAGAAAATCAAACTAAACTAAAATTTCAGAGGGCGGCAGCAAAAATAAAAGCAACTTGGGAAATAACGGACACCATACTACACATGTTTAAATAAAGTACTGATATTTCTACAATCTTGAATTTGTTGAAAATGGAGCGATCCTTCCGCATATTCTCCCGTGATCGGTTAGTGAGGCCAACATTCGATCGGCGGTCATACTTTGGTGACAAGATTTCGAGGTGACGCCGAGAGAATTTTTATGTTTATTGTGACAACTGTTTTGTTTTAAATTTATAAACTGTATTGTTTAGTATGGTGAGATGTTCTGCGTATGGCTGCAAAGGCCGCAGCGAGAATAAAGTGGCTGGAATTATATTTCACAGGTAAAAATCGATACACAACTTTTGTTATGTGGTCATAAAATGTACATTTTTTCATTATAGCAGTAAAAATATGTAAAATGCTTTTAATATGTTTTGTACCACATCCAAACCAAACTATTTTTAATAATTCCAAGTAGTATTTTCAATATCCTTTATAATAATTAATATTTGAAACTATAAATAATGCTACTCAGCATGGATTTCTCCAGTGGCGTAGGGAATTATAATCAGAGAAATACAATTTCTGCAATAAACTTTTTTTTATATATTTTACATGTAAAAAAATGTATAAAGTATTGTTATCAAATATGTAAAATAATTGTAAACTATAAAAAAAAATAAAAATTCTAGTGATAAGAAATCTATATGTATAGTTGTTATATAAAACTTAAATTTACCTGCCAAGATTTGCTGGGGGTGGACAAACTTGTGGTGGGCTACTTGTTACTACATATATTTTTTTAAATATTCTTTCAAAATATTTGCTAATTTAGGTGTATAATAATAGTCTCATTAATAAAAATTTAAAAATAAATAAAATAACACAAAGCTTCTAGAATTGTTTATTATTTTGTGGAAAATTAGGATATTCTTATGATTGAAGGTAACAAATATTAAAAATTACATTATTCATTGAATCCGTGCGCAAGTGTGAAGAGGAATGGCTAGGTTCATTGTTATACCGTGTGATCGAAAAAAAACGACGTCCAGTTGGCTTGTAAATGACGATCGACGACATTCCCCATATAATTTTACATATAAAATGAGAGTGATCTTCATTTCAGACGCCGTCTTTTTTCGATGTCGTTTTGTATAGTTTTATGTCATTTTATATGTAGAATTATATGGGGAATATCATCGATCGTAAATTTACTAGCCAACTGGACGTCGTTTTTTTTCGATTATACGGTATAATAATGAATCTAGTCAATTCCCTTCACACTTGATTACGGATTCAATGAATAATATAATTTTTAATATTCATTTGTGAAATTGTCATTTCCAAACTAACAAGACGCTGTTTTTTTCGATCATACAGTATATATGTATATACACGTTTAAAACATATGTTATTACATTATTTTTTATTTAATTATACATTATACACACGTTAATAAATAAATAATTGTCTTGATAATCAGTCCACTGTGACTGTTAAATAAATTTTGCATTATCGACTTAGATATTCTAATATTATAAAGGTGAGACTATAAAATACAAAATTGTATATGCATTAATCGAAAATGAACGATATACTAGTTTACGTTTTAATAAATATTTTGTACCGTTTAGGTACAAACTCATTTCTGATGCTACGCCATTGGAGAATTTCGCGTGGTGACAACTTGCGTCACTTTCAGCTGCCGTGTTACCTATCCCCTCTCTTTCCTTGTCTAAGGAGCTATCAATGTCGACCGTTATATTTCCGTTCCATTTGATCTTTGCATTGGAAATCAGTTTTAACTGATGCATAACATGTTGTGCGGGGTAGCGAGTTAAGGTGCGTATTCATTATCCGCACGAACGAACGAACGAACGAACGAATGTTCGCTAGTGGTATGGACGGGGACCGCACGATAGGACCGCACGAGAAGACCGGAGGCATATGTTGGCGAACGCTTTGATGTACCGACTCGAAACGGATGGTCGAGCGAACGAACGAACGAACGGCCGCATGCGTTCAGTCCCCGTCTAAATATACCGCACTTTCATTCGTTCGTTCGTTCGTTCGTTCGGATAATGAATACGCACCTTTAGGAGTACGGGTATTTAACGAGTACTTGGATGAGTTTGGACTAAGGTTTGGACTACGAAGATTGGAATGGCCTCCTTGTAGTCCCGACCTCAATCCAATCGAACATTTGTGCGATGAACTTAAAAGAGCTGTTCGTCGTCGTATTACTCCACCATAAACCTTACAAGAGCTATAGCTAGCACAGAATATACAGGGCGTTCCTTAACGACATGCTAATATTTAAGGGGGCGGTCCTTGGACCTATTCTTAGAGAGAAACTTCATATGCATGTACGTCCTAAACATCTTAATTTCTGAAATACAGGGTGGTATAGTGTAAAAAAATATAGTTTTGATTTCAGGGCATTTCTTGTATTTTTATTAATTTTTTGAAAAAAGGCTGAAAAAATATATTTTTACTTATTTATTAATCTCTTTGAAACTATCAAAACATATTGAATAATACCTTAGGATTATGTAAAGTGATAAAAAGGAAGCGTAAAATGCAATAACATATAGGGTGTTCCATTTTAAAAGAATCATCCATATCCACTCACTTTTTTAAGCCACCCTGTAGAGGTTAAAATATTTTCCTCAAATACATCTTAATATATATTTTAGGTATGCACTTAAACAGAATTCCTAAATTTTTTATTATAGGAGCTACAGATACCTGATAGACCGAGAGCTGGCTACATAAAAAACCTTATCATCGTTACATGGCTAATTTTTTGTGTAAAGTATCCTTTTGTGTAGCCATTGTGAAATAGTCATGTCTGCCAGCGCGATCCCGCGGCTTAAAGCGAGGGCGGCCAATCGAAAGGGTGAAATTTTGACACTAAAAATATTATAAGGTACACGAGTTATAATTGCCAAATGGTTTTTATTTATTATTAGGAAACGTGTAAAATTGTTGACAGACATTTTCCTCGTGGCTGAAATGCCGACAGACAACGCGAAAGAGGCATAGAATTTTGACAAAAGAAAATCATCGCATACATGCATGTCGGTTGGTGGAATGTCATCTTTATTGTTAATTAATTTAAAAAGCCGTATGCTGCAAAAGGGCAGACAAAAATCGTTATTGAAATAATAAAAAAATATATTTATAATATAATCGTATATTATATGATTTATCTATACTTAAATGGATGAGGCGGCAAGCGTTCCCTGAAAGCGCTAGAGTAATATCGCGCTTTTGATAACTGTCTGCAGCTGATTGAGCCACGATCTTTTTGTCTGCCCTTTTGCATACGGCTTTTAAAATAAATATATATGACATTTCACCAATCGGCATGCAAATATGTCATAATTTTTTTCATTCTTCAAATTTAATTTGTAATAATTTTTAAAATTTCATGCCTCTTTCGTGTTGTCTGTCGGCATTTTAGCGATTGGAAAAATGTCTGCCAACAATTTTCCACGTTTCTGAATAATAAATAAAAGCTATTTTCGCAATTATAACTCATGTATCTTATAATATTTTTAGTGTTAAAATTTCACCCTTTCGATTGGCCGCCCCCGCTTTAAGCCCCGGGATCGCGCTGGCAGACATGACTATTTCATAATGGCTACACAAAAGGACACTTCACACAAAAAATTAGCCATGTAACGATGATAAGGTTTTTTATGTAGCCAGTTCTTAGACTATGACGCGCTATTACCGGACCTGTATGTAATTTATTCAATAAATGTATAAAAAATATTTTCTGTGTGACTTTTCGTAAAAGTAAAATTGTTATAGTTAATGTATTTCCTTCTTACCAATTAATTCATATCTTTTATCCTTCCTTTCAACTATAAGAGGTCCACCACTGTCGCCCTAAAAATAAAATAAAATTATAAACATTCATTTTCTGCATATACAACCTAATTAAAGAATACTTTATTTTCCACGCTAAAAATTTCAGTCTTCTTTGGAAGATTTTTTTCGACAATTTTTTTTTGGTCCGATTGCACCGTATCTATACTAATATATAAAACCCTTAAGTGACTGACATACTTATTAATAACGATCCTGATCAAACCACTCAACGTAAGAAGCTCAAATTTGGCATACAGGTTGATTCTAGGGTGTAGAGGTTCGATAAGAAGGTATTTTTCGAAATTCCAGTTCCAAGAGGGTGAAACCACCCCTCAAATATTACAATATTTTTTATTTAGAAAACGGTCAAGTTTCCGAAAAAACGCTTAAACACGTATATTTTATTTTGTTTTTTACATATTTTAAGATTTTTTTAAAAATGTATACAGGGTTTTTCGAAAAATCTGGTCATTGATTAATCACGATCCTGCTTAAAGCGCTTGATGTAAAAAGTTGATTTTTGGAAAACAGATTGACTTTAGGGTGTAGAGGTTCGATAAGAAGGGATTTTTCGAAACTCGAATTCTAATGGGGTGAACTATCCCTCAAATATTAAAATATTTTTTATTTAAAAACCGGTGAGTTTTTCGGAAAAGCTCTTATACACTTCTATTTCATTTTGTTGTTTTACATATTTTAAGATTTTTAATAAATTTATACAGGGTGTTTCATAAAATATGACCATTGAGTAATCACGATTCTGCTTAAACTGCTTGACGTATAAAGGTGATTTTTGGCAAACGGATTGACTGTGGGGTGTAGAGGTTCGACAAGGAGGGGTTTCTCGAATCTCAAATTCCAAGAGGGTGAATACGCCCCTCAAATATTACAATATTTGTTATTTAAAAAACGGTTACACTTTCGGGAAAACGCTAGGACAAGTATAATTTATTTGGTTTTTTTACATATTTTGAAATTTTTTAAAAAATCATACAGGGTGTTCCAAAAAGTTGGGTAATTTCTTAACCACGATTCTGCTTAAACTGCTTGACGTAAAAAGCTTATTTTTGGCAAACGGATTTTTCAATTCCAACGAGATGGAACTACTCAAATTATATAATACCAAGAATTTTGGTTTTTCGGGTTATTAGGCCGTCGTCGGTTAGAATTGCTTCCTAACGTTTCGCTAGCACGAGTGGCTAGCATCTTCAGAGGTGTGTTTGCTCCGATTGCTCACACTAGACTGATGCCTCCGCGTCGGCGTAGCGCGTATTTATGCGTCGGCGGAGGGGGCGTGGCTTGTTCGGGTGGTAGTTCTTCCGAACTGGTCTACTTCTCTGTGCTGCTACTTTGGTCCTAGATATAGCTGGATGCCAAATTCTGTTAAGGTAGAACGTTTCTTCCTTCCTGTTGAAATTATTTGGATGTTTGTGAATTTCAACAGCTTCTCTGACCAGACGAGGATGATATCCAGATGTTGTGGCAATGACTTTGGGTGTCTTTGAATTGGATTTTGTGGTCACCATCTCTTAGAGCATGTTCTGCTACGGCTGACTTCTCTGTTTACCCTAATCTGCAGTTTCTCTTGTGTTCCGTAAGTCTCGTTTCTACTGAGCGTTTGGTAATTCCAATATATACGCTACCGCAGGAACAAGGTATACGGTAGATCCCCTGCAGAGGATAATGGTTCTCTTTTTGTCTTTTGCTGGTCTTAAGCAGTCCCTTATTTTTCGGGTAGGTTTGTATATGGTTTTGATGTTATGCTTCTTGAGAACTTTACCAATCCTATCGGTGACCTGGGAAACATATGGAAGGAAGGCCTTATTAATGATGTTTTCCTGTTCATTGGCGTCAGGTCTCCTCTGCCTAGGTGCCAGCGCCGCCTTTATTTCTCTGTCATTATAGCCATTGGCAATAAAGGCTTTATTTAAATGACTTAGTTCCTCTTGGATGTGTTCATTAGCACAGATACGTCTTGCCCTATTTGCTAATGTTCCGATAATCCCCTGTTTTTGGCTTGGACGCTACGCCGACGCGGAGGCATCAGTCTAGTGTGAGCAATCGGAGCAAACACACCTCTGAAGATGCTAGCCACTCGTGCTAGCGAAACGTTAGGAAGCAATTCTAACCGACGACGGCCTAATAACCCGAAAAACCAAAATTCTTCAAACGATGGCCGCGAAAGCCTAAACTACTACATATATAATACCAAGTTATATAATAATATCGCCATATTGTTTTTTCTCATGCTGACATAAATGTGAGAAAATTTTATCCAGTTTGTGTGTTAATGGAAATTCTTGCTTTGCTTTATCATCACCATTACAAATGATTAATTCGACGCGAACGAAGTCGCTGGTACACACTAGTAGAGTTATATTATATTTCTGTTACTCGATCTAGTAGATAGTTTTCCAAATATATTAAGGTTTGAATATTTAAAAGCAGATCCAGAATTCATCTTCTAAAGAAAAGAGAACTAAACTCACCAGAGTAAAGGGGAAGATGTGAGATTTAAAATGACCTTCCTGAAAACTTGAAAGTTTATCAAAAAAAGTCAAAATACTGATGAAAGGAAAATAGGTACTACGTATCTACACTCTACCATCGGCACGAAAAACGGACACCTTAAAATTTTGATGTATTTTAAAGTTGAATATATTTTATTCTAACGCCCATTTTCATGATTTTTTAAGCAATTTGTAGCAAATTATTTTACTTTTTACTGTCTTTCTCTAAATTAAAAATGAAAGTTTTCATTTGTCAATTATACGAGGGAAAATAAAATGTGGATATTTTGGTGAAAGTTTGAAACACCCTGTGGAATATGTTAAAAAAGAAAGCAATTCAAAAATAATTTTGTCATTTAGATACGTCTTTTCTGGATAGTTTTATTCATCTCAATAGCTTTATTTTTCTTGGAGATATTCTCTTTTGAATAAGCCAGTAACAATTTTAATGCAATTTTAGCACTGATTTTCGGTCCTCATCAACACACTTATAAAATAGTGTTTATTGTTTTTGTAATGTTACTGTGGTTGAAATATTATATTATTATAATTATTGATTATTGACGTGTACTCATGTAGAGATGATTATAAGTTCTCGGCTATTGTTGCTTTAATTGATCATGGTAGAGACCAACATTTGAAGTTAAAACCATATCTGCTAGCGTAACTGCCCAACAGACAATAATAATATGATTTTTCAAAGACAGTGACCTTATATAAATCATAACCACTATTTTATACGTCTGTTGACTAGGACCTAAAGCAAAGGCATGGTTATAATGTAAAAAACGAAAAAATGTTAGTGTCTTTTTCAAAAGCGAATTAGTTCAGTCATTGGGGATTTTTGCTTGGAAAAAAGTCCTGAAGTTTTGCAACTTTGCAGGTTTATAGGTTTTGGGGTCCCTAACTAAAATCCATAAAATGCACATTTCCAGACTTGCCCCCGCCGCCGCCATCTTGCCAAGATGGCGGATATCTCGAAAACTGCATTTTTCGCGAAAATTTGAGGAGAGCAAAATTAAAGAAAGAGAATAAAATTGGCTATAAAAAAGGTTTTATGAAAATTTTCGCTAAAGTCAACCGTTTAGGCACAAAATCCCTGGAAATTTTACAATTTTGCGTAAAATATGATATATTATGTATAGATTTTCCGAAATCAAATGTCGATTAGAGTTCACTAAAACTAGTTTTAGTTTAGTTTCTTCAATTTTGTCATAAAACAGTGGCTTATCATTAATTCGCTCATTAATTTATAAATAATTAATTTTAGTTATTGAAAATGTGTACTTGTTTCCATATCACCCAAGAGGAAAAGTATATGGCGCGTTTATTTTAACGTTGTCTCCCCGGAGGCCTACTCCACTAGATAAATTAAAAACTTTAACTTATCTGCACAAGCCCGACGGATCTGGCTCATTGATGTCAAAGTCGATCGTGTCTGCTGTGCTGGGCTCATCAGGGTGGTCTCTCAATACGCCCAACTCTTCATCTTCAGCCGCCAGAGGGATATATACAGGCAAGTCCAACTCCTCTTCATCGAATTCGTCGAGTGACACTTCAGTGACGTTGTCACAGGATTTCCCATTGCAGCATGCACAAATCATTAAACATTTTAATCCTGCTTTTCTGCATCCACAGGCTTTACCATAGTTGTTGGTTTTGCATTTACAGGATAAAAATGCCAATAGGGATTTTGGAGCTGGCTCTTTCAACGTTGTGACTGGAGTAATGCCTGTGTTTGTTTTCTTCCAACCCCATTCTTCGGCATCTTTGGTACAACCAGACCAATGCTGAACCTAATGGTAAGTTCGCAATGAATGCTGTCCAGCATGACAATTAATTATTCATAAATTAATGAGCGAATTAATGATCCGCCACTCTTTCATGACAAAATTGAAGAAACTAAACTAAAACTAGTTTTAGTGAACCCTAATCGACGTTTGATTTCGGAAAATCGACTATACATAATATATCATATTTTAGGCAAAATTTCCAGGGATTTTGTGCCTAAACGGTTGACTTTAGCCAAAATTTTTATAAAACCTTTTTTATAGAAAATTCTCTTTAATTTTGCTCTCGTCAAATTTTCGCGAAAAACGCATAGTTTTCGAGATATTCACAAAATACCAATTTTGGGCGCCATCTTGGCAAGATGGCGGCGCCAGCGGCAAGTCTGGAAATGTGCATTTTTTGGATTTTAGTTAGGGACCCCAAAACCTATAAACCTGCAAAGTTTCAAAACTTCCGGACTTTTTTCCAAGCAGGCCCCTTTTTTGATCCCCAATGACTGAACTAAATATCTTAAAAAAAGCTAATAAGATGAATAAAAAAATGAATAAAGAAAACAAACTATCGAGAAAAGATACGCTTAGATGATAAAATAATTTTTAAATTCCTTGCTTTGTTAACGTACCCCCACAGGGTGTTTTAAACTTTCATCAAAATATCAATATTTTGTTTTCCCTCGTATAATTGGCTGATGGTAACTTTAATTTTTAATTTAGCAAGAAACACTGGAAAGTCAAATAATTTAGCTTCAAATTGCATAAAAAATTATCAAAATCGGTTCTTTAGAATACAATATATTTTTATTAAGGTGCCCGTTTTTCGTGACGTTTAGTTTGGTTAGGTATATCTAATATTAATGAAACATTGATATTTAGAATGAACAGCATATCTTTCAATGTAGTGTGGAGTTGAAGAATTTGCTATATATACCCGCCGGATAAAAGGCAGGGGAAAAATGCGATAAAATAAAAATAGGTAGATATGTGATAAGAATGTTTCATAATTTTTATTTATTCGTGTTTTATCGATCCCCACCCTAGAGTGCTTTTTCCGCCCACCATGCATGAATACATGGATAGCATTATACTCCTTCCATAGGCAGAACCAGACGAATTAGCGTATACCCGTCCGCCAGAAAATTCAAATTGTAAAATAGTATTTCCAAAATAGGTCTCATCGGGATATACAAACAATTTTTCCACAAACTTTTTGTAAACAGGGCAATTCTATCTTTACCTACTATATCAAGATTTATTAATAATTTTGAAACACATGGGTGCGTGTCCCCACATAAACACAAGAAGCCTGATGTGTTGATTAATGAAGAACAAGAGTTAAAGCAAGTGTTTAACCGTTTAATTAGTGGACATGGAACTATTTTGTGGCCAGCTAGATCACCAGATCTTTCTCCCAATGATTTCTTTTTGTGGGGTTATGTAAAACTCAAAGTGTATGGTCATAATAGGGCTAATAATCTGGATGAGCTTCAAGTAAAAATATGAGAGGCTTTCCAAACTATTCGCCCTAATATGTTAGCCAATGTCAGACGGGGATTTTACCACCGCCTAGGCTTCTGTCTAGCACAAGAAGGTGGTCTTTTTCAACACTTGTTATAACTTTTTTTTTATTTAGAGTAATATTTTAGTTTTTTTTTGGGTTTAGAGAATTTATTTATTTTTAGTTTTGGCTTGTAAACACACTCAAATAATAAAGATTTAAGTATTTTTATTTTAAATGTTACCTTAAGTGAAAGTAAACACTTAAAATGAAAATAATAAATACTCGGCACTCCTCGCGTCGTATTCCTAGTCTGTCACGACCGACCCGTCCAAGCACAACTGCAACTGCGTACTGCCTGACTAGCCGACTAGCCGGCAGTGACTCTCGACTACGAACGCAAATTGGGTAAACGTAAATTCGTCCGGCAACTTGCTATGTTACTAGTAGCCTAGTCTTCTCTGTATAATAATTTTACAGTATTTAACTTTGGATAATCTTTTCTAATACTTTTTTTTATATATTGATTTTTTTACACACCACTGCTGTTTTATCTGTACTAACCTGACACGAATCCTTTTGTCCTGTTTTAGGATATCCCGCGCACATCATATTATCAGAAATCATTTTCGACGAATAATTCGTGTTTCTACATTCTTCGTTACTTATCACTGGAACATTAACTTCCTGTAATATGCAGGAAGGTTTTCCATCTTCTTTTAACGTACCCCAACCGGCAGCTGTAGCTACTTGACCAACGTAATCATGATCTACAAAAATTTACTGCCATTTATATAAAATTATCATCAAATCTTAAGAATAGCTTTAAAATTATAATGCTAAAACATACGTATTCATTCTTAAGCCTGGTAATTAAATTTTTTAATATAAGCGACAGCGGTTTTGGTATTGGTTTTTTTTGTGCAAACGCCAAAACTAGCGTTTGATCTCCTTGAAAGTCAAGACCGTCTAGTGCAAGACTTTTTCAGAATCAAGACCAAGGCCAAACATGCAAGATTCCTGTAGTCTTGCACTTTATTTTCATATTTATAATATGATAAGAACAGAGTGATAAAAACACCACCTATATATATATATAGATAAAATGGACTATATATATATATATATATATATATATATATATATATATATATATATATATATATATATATATATATATATATATATATATATATATATATATATATATATATATATATATATATATATATATATATATATATATATATATATATATATATATATATATATATATATATATATATATATATATATATATATATATATATATATATATATATATATATATATATATATATATATATATGCTTACTAAACATTATTTTGAAGAAAAGATAAGGATTCGCATCCCGACAAGAGAATGGTAAAGCAACATAGTAATGAATACTGAAGAGATAGCAGTCTAAACAGATGCTTTCGTGACTTTAGTAGGTACAGGTACAGGCATCTTCTTAGAGGGACTAACCATCCGACGTTCCTTAAGAATGTAATGTTCTACATGGTGTAATGTTCTACAAGCAGAGCAAGTTGTATACGAGGGAAAATCGCTGAAAAACCAATAGGTAATATCGCGATAGACTCTGACCATTTGGTCTCTTTAAAAAGCATCCCAAGCAGCATTTGGACGTCGGGACAACGTTGTATCACGCGACCAAACGTCGGGGCGCAACGTCGGCACAACCTCGTGCCAACCCTAGTCTGCACTAGTTTGGAGAATAATTTTTGGGTCGAAACGACGTTGGATACCGACGTTGGCTAGAAGCCTAATTTAGTACAAACTGCAACGTTGTTTAAAATCCTAATTCACAGAAATACAAAACTAATATGGCGTCTAAGTCGCGTTTTATCCTAAATTGGGATAATTATAGTAAAAATATTATTTTTATGATTTAGTTAGAGACATATGTCAGATGGCAGTGAAGGAAAACAAAACAAAAAGTATTTAAGTGTGGAGGATGTTTGAAGATCAGAATTATTGATATACTTTAACCGACTCTGTAACTCGTTACCCAAGGCAAAAAAAAAGTTAAACGCAAACAACTTTATTGATAAATGTATTGTTTCTACTTTGAAAAATACTAATGGGCCTTAAAATTAAAGAAGTTTTAAAAATTTTCTTGAATTTCTTTTTTTTTTTTTTTTAGTAAAATGAGAATAATTTATTCGCAGTCGAAAAAATTGTTTCCGCGTGTTTTTTAGGATCAAATATTTCAAGTTAATGTATTCAAAAAGCAGGAATTGCTATTTTAGGAACGAAACATTTTCTTATTTAACAACATGGCGGCTTTCACTTTGTTGTTTTAGAGATTAAGATGGAGTAGTTCGAGTAGTCGCATACTGGACTAATAAAGTCGCAGTTCGGCCTTAACAGGTAGTATACTCGTCGCAAGATTGCCTAATTTAGTAATCCTAGAGTCTAGCTTGTGCCGCACTCTATAATCTAAATAAAAGAGGGAGCGGATAAATTATCGGTAATATATGTCGATGTATATTTAAATTTAGTTTTATATGTACCTTTATTATGTCCCATTTTAATTAAGTTTTTTTTATAAAAACAAAAACAGCACTGAACTGTCTGACTGAACAGAACAATGAAGTGAAAATTTAAGATTTAAGGTTATGGTTCAATACAGTTGCAAAAAGGTAGTGACTCGACGTCCTACCAACGTAAGAATAAGGAAATCTAAACAACGTTGGAATTAGTAAAACAGACGACGTTTGCATAACGTTGGAATAGGTCCTGAAACTGACGTCGGAAAACTATATATTGTCCAACGTTGTAACTACGTTGTCCGAATCACCTAAAGATGACTTAAGCAAAAAAGGTTAGAAGACAACGTTTATTCGACGTCGCAGAAGCTTCTACTTTGCTGTAGTACTAGTCCAACGTCGGCACAACGTTATAAAAACGTTTAAATTTATTTTAATACCGAAGGTAGGAAGCTAACTATTTTTTGTAACTAATCCAACGTTGTGTTTAGTAAACATGTGGTCGCAAGTCGTGAAAATGCTACTTGGGATCACTATGTACCCAATGAGATCGAAAACTGTAAAGAACTGTCTAGAAGCACTGTCCTAGTTACGTCAAGGCAGGCCCACTCTGTGCTGGGTGCCAGGTCACAACAATGTGGTGTGACAAAACTTTAGTAATAATAGAAAAGTAAATTATATATTTTTTTTATTTTTACCATTCTAATTCAATTGTTAATAAAAAAATAAATTGTAATTATTATTATTATAATATTATAATATTTTATAGACTCGTAACATACCTTTAACTTTAGGCAAACATATTGGCCTAATATGCTGAGTAATTGGCACCCGGTCACTAAGTCTCAGTAACGCTATATCATTGTCAAAGTTCAGAAAGCTGAAAGCACCAACTTCAGCTCTCAGAACGAATCTGGATTCCGGTCGCTTGGTGTCATTGCATCTGTCGTGCTCGCCGAATGTCACTTTGATCATAAACCACATGAACCTAGAAAAATATACTAATGAAAAGTAAAGTAAGGTTAAAGAAAAAAGTTTAAAAGTAGTAAAATGTTTAGTAAAATTAAAACATTTTTATTTTAAATCGAATTTGATTGCGTTAATTGTCTTGATTTTAAAATTGAATGTCTTGTGTCAAATTGTCAATCATCTTCTACACGGGCGTCTAGTAGAAGATAGTCAGAAAGCAAACCAAATTCGAATAAGAGCATTCATTAGTAAGAGTTTGTTCCAAAATTAGTAGTTGAACTTCGGTGAATGTGAGATTTAACTAGTAATTGGTGATAATTTCTGGCTTTTACTGTAATATACACCTACATACTAGAGATGGTATTGTATTCCAGCCTAGACTAAATAATTTGATTGTAATATTAATTTTAGGAATGTTTTAACTGTATTAAGTTATGTCACTGTATAAAATTTCGTACTGCATCTAAAGATCATCTCTAATTTTGGTGGCAGCGGTGGGATTCAACAGCTCCTCTCTTAATGAGCGATTTTATGATCTGTAAGTGATGTGAAATTTCAAAAACAGAAATGTTTAACATAATTAATTAGCATAGTAAAACGAAGATGAAATGAATGTAAATTTTAGATATAGAAAATATATATTGACATAAGTTTTAACTAATGATTTTAACTAACTTATACTATATCGAATTGTAATCGAAAATAATAAAAAAAAATAAACATGATATAAACGATTTAAGTTTGATTAAAAATCATTATTGTAGGTAACTAATGATTACGTTAAAATGTAAGGTTACGAAATTCTTTCAGTATCAATACTAAATCATCATTATTTACGACATTCAAACAAAATAAAAATTATTGTAACTGTCACTGCCAGAAGCTTCAAGAAGAATAACCATAAAAATTGGCGCCGGGATGCACGTATAGCCGCCCATACTAAAATATATTGCAAAATAAAAACACTAAATCACCACAATACGGCAAAACACTTTTACTTTTAGACAGGACGCGCATTTCGCTAACCATGTTAGCATCATCAGCAGATGATTGAAAATAGTACTAAGTTGAAAGTACAATCTACAAGTTGAGCGTTTATATATTCGCCCAGTGGGCACCGAGTGGGCGTGGCAAAATCTAGCCAACCGAGTCAGAACTCTCTGAGCGCAACAGTTAGATTTCCGCCACTAGAGTAGTAGGAACAAAGAACTTGAAGGAATTGGACCGTTGTCTCTGTTCATACTATCTTTACATTTATTAATTCTGATGCTTTCATATGCATCTAATTGCCTGTAATTTAAGACTTGTTTAATTAATTTTAAATTATTAAGATCTATACAATGTTCTTTATCAACAATATGTTCGGCAACGCAAGATTTATCCGGTCTACCATATCTTATCTGAGCTAAATGTTCTTTAAATCTAGTTAATATTGATCTTCTAGTTTGCCCAACATATTTCTGATTACAATCTTTACAAGAAATTTCATAAATACCCGACCTTTCCAGTGGAGGTGTTTTATCCTTTGGATTACCTAATAATTGTTGTAATTTATTATTAGTACTATACACAAGTTTATAATTGACATTCTTAAAAATTCCTTTTAGACCACGGGATAACTCTCTATCAAACGGTATCGAAAAATATTTAGACGTATCTTTCTCCACTTGAAAAGTCGAATTTTCAGAAATCATTAACCTATACCTACGTTTTCTAATTAATTTATCAACTAGTGAAGGAGAATATCCATTACACTCAGCTACATTCCTAATGTAATCTCTTTCTATTTCATATCTTTCGTTAGAAAGTGGGAAACTAGTAATCTATGAACTAAGAAATTTAAACTAGCCATTTTATGTTCAACACTATGATGTGATTCATTAGGAATATATCTGCGTGTGGTCCTATTTTTCTTATAGATATCAAATTTCAGGCAATTATTAGCATTTTTAATAACTAATACATCTAGAAATGGTAATCTGACGTTGTTCTCAATTTCATGCGTAAATTTAATGGAAGGAAAACGATTATTTAACTTAAAAATAAAATTATCTATGGTGTCTGAATGTGTGTCAAAAACAGCAAAAATATCATCCACATACCTAAACCATACTCTTGGAAAATACTCAAACTGATTCTTAGTCTCCACTTCAAACCTGCTCGTGAATAAATTAGCCAAAAATGGAGACAATGGATTACCCATTGCTGTACCTTCCCGCTGTTCAAAAAAGTTGTTATTAAATTGAAAACAATTTTGTTTCATACATAACGATGTAAGCTCAATATATTCAGTTACAGTTTTGTTGTCGAGACCATTTGTGTTCAGTAATTCCTTCAAGTAGCCTAAAGTATGTGGAATTGGAACACTTGGGAACAACGAAGATACATCAAAGGAGACCAAAATTTCACCTTCATGCAATGTTATATCTTTAATTTTTTTAATGAATTCAATATTATTTTTAACTGCGAAAGAAGGTTCATGATCAGGTAAATTGTCAAACTCCCCTGATAACCATTTTGCCAAATTATAAGTCGGAGAACCTACAGCCGAAACAATTGGGCGCATAGACTTGTCCGGTTTATGAATTTTTGGCAAAGCATACAATTTTGGTAATGAGGGATTGGACGAATATATAAACGCTCAACTTGTAGATTGTACTTTAGTTTATAATCATCTGCTGATGATGCTAACATGGTTAGCGAAACGCGCGTCCAGTGTAAAAGTTAAAGTGTTTTGGTGTATTGTGGTGATGTAGTGTTTTTATTTTGCTGTGTAACACCAAAGGTTCCAACCGTCAACTGTAAAATATATTAATAAAAAGTTGGTAGGCAGTTCTCCACTCGGATTTTCTCAAAAACGGACTACGGAAACACGGATATCTCAAAAACTGCGACTTTGACTGATTTTGATGTTATTACAAATTTTGTTGCAAATATTATTCCTAATCTTAAATTGAAAACCGCGTTTCGCTAGCTACTGTAATTTGGAGTTACGATTTTTTAAAATTTTTAACCCCCTCCCATACCCCCTTACCAACCCTCACCCCCACCAAAAACTAATGGCCAGATTCTTGTGTGCCACAGTATTTTTGTGCCAAATTTGGTTAAAATCGGTTTAGCGGTTTTTGAGTTATCGTGTTACAGACGGCCAGACGGACAGACACCATGAAAATATTTTGTATTTAGGCTTGGTTTGTTTTTTTTTGCCGATCTTAAAGCCATACCTGTTGGCATGGTCGGCTAAAAATATTAAACGGTATTTTCCTTTGTATATTAATAACGAATTTATGATATTAAACTTTTCATCTTTGCATGATAGTTTTTTTAGTACATTTAAGCTCTGAAAAATAGCAAAACTCATAACTCATTTATATAGTTCGTAAGAACAGTTTTACCCAGGCATACCTTCTACACGAAAAATGAAAATAAAATTAAAACAAAATATATTCATGAACTAATAACCTCTTTCTTTAACGAATTATAATGATCAACAAAACCATAAATATCACTTTCTTTTCCGCGCTGCCTTTTCACAAGTACAAGTGACAAATGAAAGTGATTACAGTCATTACATATTTGTATATGTTTTTATGTACAATATATTTCTTTACTTAAAGAGGTTGATGCTTTTATTTGAATTCTAAATTTGTGAAAAGTAAGCGAATATGGAATTAAACTAATACTAATTGAAATTCAAATTTAACACTTATATTTTCTATCCCAATTATCTCAAATTAAAATAAGACAGATACGTATTATGCACTTATTCACCTTCAATATTTTGATAAATTCTAAACAATATTTTTGTTCATAATGCAGTAAACAAAAACAAGTTTCTTCACATTCGAAGAACGATAAATTAACGGAAGATTGTCTTGCTAAACCTGATTCAGAATTAAGCCATAATTAACAGGTTCTAGTTATTAATTTGGCTCATTTACTGGTTTATTATTTTTCTTCAGCGTAAATAACAACTTGCTAAGGTAAACAACAAGAGACTGAAAATTGATATTTAGATCGCTTAATATTTTAAAAGAACTGATTGAAAATAAGTGCACCACTTATTTATTTTGTGTCTGGCTTTATTACCTTGCTTTATGTCTGGAGAAAATGGGCATTTCTCCATTGAAAAATAAAACTAAAAATTATAGGAATTGTTTTTTGTACAATAATTAATGTTTTAGTGAGGAAATACCAATGCTTTTATTTGCAAGTGTTTGACTCCTTGTCAAATTAAAATTAGGCTCAGCACTCTGAGAAGGAGATAAAACAAAATTTTGTGCAATAAACAAATTACCAAAAATAATTAAAAATTGGAATATATATATGTTTCTCATTAAAATGTTGACTCTAATAATAACATTAGAAACCTTGCATCCAATTGTATTGATATATCTATCGGCGTCCGCCAGGGCTCAATCCTGGGTCCAATAATTTTTATTTTATACAGGTTGGTCCGAATTGCATTCCGGAAACTTCAGCAGCATATTCTGCAGATAAAAATAAGTAAAAAAGTTCGTATAAATGTATGTCTTAAAATGCTTAGTTTCGGAGATACAGGGTGTAGAAGTTTCATTTTTATTTCGGTTTTTTCCAAATATTTTCTAAAGAAACCTCAATATTTTGATGAAAATTGGTGTCTGGGAGTTTTTTGACATGAAATTCAAAACAGCGTGTGTCCCCCAGATAGAATATTGATTATCCAAAAATGTTTAAGAGTTATCTAAGAAGGAATAAGAAGGCGAAAATAATAAAGTAGGAGAGATCATACCAATTCGTTACTATGTTCACAAATAGCCAAACAGCACTAAAGGTACTCGGTTCCACAGAGATTAGTTCTCCACTGTTGTGAGATTGTGTGGATAGATATACATACAGCCGCTTTAAAAATCAATTTTAAACTAAAATAATCTAACCATACCCTTTAACGCAATGAGCAGCTGTCAAAACGTATCGATCGTTGATCAACATTCCTCCACAATAGAATCTGTTGAAGTAGGACAGCCTGGCCATCCATGGAAATTCGTTTTCTTGTGTTGGTTTTCCTCCCACTATTCTGCTGTTGTCGTTTCTCTCACCACAAGCTGAAAATTGTAATCATCATATATCATATCAACCAAGACGTGTTCCAGCCTTCCGGATAAGCTCTATATCAAATTTTTAGTTTGAAATATTCACTCCATTTTGTGCATGTATAATGCATTATCTGGCAAATCGCTTTAAAAACAAGGTTGTAAGTATAAACCAGTTCATACAAACATATTTTCAAACTAATGATATCTATTTTTAAATTGAATTCTATACTATTTTTGAGATCATAGAATTTTGCATTAAATTACGTACCAAAAATATCATAAAAACATTCTACAGCTTCAGATATATTAATAAATAAATAAAAAAAGTTTATTTTAATCCTTTCTTAAACAAATTATTAAAAATACAAAAACTGTCCTGAAATCAAAACTAGATCATACTTTAAATGGTCCGTACTTAACTTTGCTATAAATATAGTAATCTTAAATCATACAGGGTGTTCAAAATTCTACGCCAAAATTTCTAAAATATAAAATAACTTTTCTTCATTTTTGTATTGAATACTCGTACCCTACTCTGTATTTTATTTTTTCATTCGGTTTTCCAAATACTCGCGGTATATTAACGGTAAAATACGAGAGAAAATTCATTGTGTGGCTTTGATAAAAATTTACTGTGGAAAATGCCATATATAAAATATAAATCCGCGAAAATCTGCGAAATCGTTAGAAATTTTGAAATAAGCTAAATACAAAAAAAATTTTATTTTTTAATTCTCCATCTATTAAAAAATAATATTATAGAGGGTGTTCTATTTAAGAAAAACCATCCCGATCCACTTAAACTTATTAAAAAATTCGTTTGTCGAAATAAAAAACCAAAAATGTTTTGTTGATTTTTTGATCACATTTTGTTCTTATTCTTGAAGATATAGGTATTGACAATTTTAATGTTAGTAATAACGATGGGAACTATCGAATGAATTAGACTATCGAATGGTTAATGAATGAATGATTTCAACTATCGAATGGTTTTATTCGAATAAAATCATTCATTCATTTGTATACTAAAGCATATGTGACAACCTCGCCGTGCGACTAAATGGTTATCGTTGAGCCACGACTATCGAAAGCTTTTGATAAATGAAATTTAGTATTCGTTTTTGTATGCGTCGGTGCATTATTAGTTCTTCCAAATTTTTATAACTTCGCCGTATAAATACTGTGCTATTTTTGCGTTTATTAAAATAGTTAAAATACTAAAATAGTAGTTATTTTTTAATTTTATTTATTGACGATTGTGTGCATGTGCAGGTGGTCAAAATTTTTCCGAAAATTTGTGTGGTTTTCCGTAGTCCGATCTTTCAATTATTTAATTTATATGGTATATGGTCTATTTTTTAATGGGAAATTTTGAGAAGTAGCAATTTTTAAGAGAGATGAGATGAACTTACAATTAATTTTAAAAATACATATTTGTATTTTAGATGTTTTAATAATATGAATTAGTTGAACTTAATAATCATATTTAAGTAATGCGGTTGTATAATCATATTTAAGTAAATGGTTATCGAACTCAAACTATGGGGTGAGAAAATTAAAATGAAAGTTTTACACGTGCCAATTTAAAAAAAAAAGTTAACAATGTTTATATTTTGTTTATGCTAATTCTTTTACATGTAGTTTTTTGCGAAGAAAAAATATTTCATTTATTTTTTAAAGTAAATGCCAGTAAAAGTAAATATAATTTTTAAATAGTAATATAAAGCACCTAATATAAATAATTTTGATTTCTAATTTTTTATTTATATTTTCCTTACATTACACTGCATGCTTAGAAAATTAATAAATGTTTATATTTCATGATTTTAAAATTTGTTGTTAATATAACAAATTAGTTCTGTAATTATTATTATTTAATAAACCACCGTTGCCAAAAAATTTAGAGACTATATTATTTTTAAATAGGATCTAATATAAATAATTTTGACATCTAATTTGTTGTTTATATTTTGCTACTACTTAAAAGAAAATATTTATATTAAATGATTTTAAATTTTGTTGTTAATAGGTATAACAAATTATTATTGTTATTATTATTTATTAAACCAGTCTTTGCTAAAAAACATTAAAAATAATTTTCCTACATCCAAAATAACAAGTATTATTGCAGTGTAACAACAGAATATTAATAAAAAAAATGCAGAATAGATAGTATGTCTTTATATTCCCTAATTAACTAAAGCCAAACAATAATATTCTTTGCTAATATCAACTAATACCAAAATATGGCAACAGCGCCTTTCATAATGTATTTTCTGTGTAAATACTAGCACCTCAATAAAAAAATAATGTGTCCTTATCTATATCTGACTCCGCAAAAAATCAAAGATGCCGGCTTCTTTCTAGCATTGCCACCGACCGCTGTCGGGTTTTTATTATAATCGATCCTGACGAATAAATGAATTTCATAAATGAATGAATTTTATAAATGAATGAATTTTATAAATGAATGAATTTTATAAATGAATGAATTTTATAAATGAATGAATTTTATAAATGAATGGTTTTTGCTGCCGAATTACTAGAATACAATATTTCAAGGCAGATGACAGATCTATTCGATAATTTTTATTCGAATAGTTTTCAACGAATGTTTTCTTACTAACTATCGAATTATTCGAATGAATTGCAACTATCGAATGTTTCGATAGTATTCATTCGATAGTTCCCACTACTAGTTACTAATTTATTGATGATAATTTAAAAAACTGATAAAAAATATGGATTTTTAGAAATTCCCTCAATACAATTTTAATAGTTAATTAACTATACATGTTTTCAAATGTCATTGTTAAACCTAAAGAGGTTGTTTCATATTTTTGAAAACTAGTCTTTTCCTGTAATTAATTATGGTCTAGTTAAAGTTTTATTAAACGGCGAAAAAATGAAAACAATAAATATTACAATGTCATATTACTACATAAACTATTTGTCATACAACATTTTGAAATAATATATTATACAATGAGGGTACATCATAAACGTTTAAATTCGATGATACCAAAATTAGATGCACAATAATAAGTTGATTCAAGAATGTTTCGAAGTTACGTTTGTATGATGTATTGTATATAGGTCTTCGTGTTTTATTTGTATAAATAATTGTGTTATTCATTTAATTATACTATATGATATACCAAAAATTGCTTAAAATATGGCTGGGGAATGAATATCGATAATAATTTTGGCGAGGTCAAGCCCTAAACATTATTTGCTTGGCACGTACTCTTCTTTATTTTTTAATGGCACATACTGTTAGTTGGCTTTAAGAAGGTTGTACTATATTTTCATATTGATTAAAAATTATTTTCAAATGGTGTAGTTTAAAATTCTAGAAATCATATTTTTTGGAAATCGATTTATGTTTCTAGAAAGAAATAAAGGTTCTATTATCTTTAATCTCTCTATAACTAGTGTTATGTTTGGACAAGTTTTATGTCAATTTTTAGTGGATGACATTAGTGCTTGACCTCGCCATCATTATCATCGATTGTCATTCCCCAATTACCTTTGACGCCAATTTTTTTCGAGAGGGGTTTTACGGTATTTACGAGTATACTTACTACATTGACATGGCGATGCTGGTGTATCATGTTTTGGAGGTGGGTGGTTCCCAAAATTATTTAGTCTGCCGAATATCTCCAAGAGCCTTGATTCTTCTGCTGATTCCTACGCATATAAAATAAACAGATTATTTTTATTACCATAGGAGAATTAGTGAAAATATTTATTTGACCCATGGTGCCATAAACAATTTACAATTAATAAAAAAATATATAATGTATAGAGTCGAAAACTAAATACTCCGTACTTATAGGCACCTATCCCAGCATCATTAAGCAGAAATCTACGCTACCGAAAGATGCGTACAATTTATGTTAGATAGGAACAATCGGAAAAATGAAATAGCCATCTTATCCTATAATCAAGCAGCACTAAAAGCGATCAACTCAGAAACCATCAATTCGAAGTGGGCCAAAGAATGCCTACTGAAGCTGAACAATTTAGGCAAAAGAAGTTCTTCTAGTTACTCTGGGTATCCGCTCACCAATGGCAATGAAAAAGGAATCGATCTAGCTAGAAGAAAAGGAGTGAACACCCCACTAACTGGACCGGAACCGTTCTACTCTCCAAGCGGAAATCAACTTAAAGCGGAACTCAAGAACCTGGAAGACTCTATCCGTCTGGAATGGGAATTCTCCTACGGTAGGACACTTGAAAAAAAATCTCGAAACTTCTTTTTCTCGGAACCGAGAAAAATCAAAGATTTCCCTTGTTTTAAGTAAGAACAATCTTAGGACTGTCACGGAGTTTCTAACAGATCTCCTCAACAAACAACTTAGTAGATTGAAGCTGAGAAACAACACCGAATGCAGATTCTGTGGGGAAAATAGAGAAACACCAAAACACCTTATCAGCGAGTGCGCTGAGACGACAACGTTAGTGCCATAAACTGCTGATGTTGGCCAGCTGGCCTCTTTGAAGCCGTCTCAGATACTGGCTTTTGTCAAAGCCCTCAAATATGATGAGTTATAACTCGTTATAACTCAAGAAAGGGGAACACACAATAGGTCAGTAATGTCGCGGTGATTAACCCCCTACTAAACAATATACAATTCTAAATTTCCATTGGAGACGAAATTCCAAAGATCTACAATACACTAAGCACTAAAGCACTTTATCTAAATACATTGTTTTTTATGTATTTTTAGTATTACATTTGGGGGGTTGGAACCTTTGGTGTTACACAACAAACTAAAAACACTAAATCATCACAACCAAAATACTTTAAACCAAAATGTCTTTGATCAAGACTCAGTTTTGATCATCTGCTGATGATGCAAACATAGGTTAGCAAAAGACGCGTCCAGTGTAAATGTAAAAGTGTTTTGGTGTATTGTGGTGATTTAGTGTTTTTATTTTGCTATCTTTAGTGTCTGGTTGTATTTCAATAAGTACCTTTACTACAACTATTAAACTACTACTACTTACAACTACTAAACACTTCATTTAACTTTATTAGAAAAACTGAAGTATTTTTAAATCTCTATAAAATCAATTTTTGGATAAATAAATCATAGAAATTCACTATAGGATAACTATATCAATTATATCTTTTAATCTTAATCTCAAAAATTCAAAGAATTTATATTCTGCGACAAACGAGCAATATGTAATTGGAAATGTAAAAAAACGATCCTAATTAAAGTATAAAAACATTTATTAAATAAATAAAACAAACAAAACCACAAAAATATTTAGTAACAAAAATAGTACCCTAAAGAAAAAAACTGACACATTTTATATGAAATACATAAAAACAATAAACTAAAAATCGAAAATAATATACATGTACTGATTTCTTTCGAAAATCGACAACTATGAAAGTATGAACCCTTCCCGGACACAAACGGTATATTGTGAGACAGGAAATTGTAGAGAGAAACAAGCCCTATAACATAGGATACAACATTTTAATGAACAGTGCTTTCCATAAAATCAATAAAATGAAAAATATAGGAAATAATATACATGTACTGATTTCTTTCGAAAATCGACAACTATGAAACTATGATCTCGTCCCTGACACAAACGGTACATTGTGAGACAGGAAATTGTAGAGAGAAGCAAGTCCTATAACATAGGACACAACATTTTAATGAACAGTGCTTTCCATAAAATCAATAAAATGAAAAATATAGGAAATAATATACATGTACTGATTTCTTTCGAAAATCGACAACTATGAAACTATGATCTCGTCCCTGACACAAACGGTACATTGTGAGACAGGAAATTGTAGAGAGAAACAAGCCCTATAACATAGGATACAACATTTTAATGAACAGTGCTTTCCATAAAATAAATAAAATGAAAAATAGACGAAATAATACACCTATGTACTAATTTCTTTCGAAAATCGACAACTATGAAACTATGATCCCTTCCCCGACACAAACGGTACATTGTGAGACAGGAAATTGTAGAGAGAAACAAGTCCTATAACATAGGATACAACATTTTAATGAACAGTGCTTTCCATAAAATCAATAAAATGAAAAATAGACGAAATAATATACATGTACTGATTTCTTTCGAAAATCGACAACTATGAAACTATGATCCCTTCCACGGCACAAACGGTACATTGTGAGACAGGAAATTGTAGAGAGAAACAAATCCTATAACATAGGATACAACATTTTAATGAACAGTGCTTTCCATAAAATAAATAAAATAAAAAATATACGAAATAATATACATGTACTAATTTCTTTCGAAAATCGACAACTATGGAACTATGATCCGATGTGTTGCCGACAGATTGTCCTAGACTTGTTTATTCGGTGCAGTCAACGGAAAAAAGACGCTGAGCAAACTTTACCCTATAATGTATGTTTAAGTATTTGTTTATTGGCAAGAAAGCGTATCGGTTTTTTGTTGCAAAGTACTGATTGACTCTTTTTCGATTTTGCGCCCCCAAAATGTTGCGCCTACGTGCGTGCACGCACTGCACGCTCGCCAGGAACGGCCCTGATTATGCTCAACGGAACTTTTTGCTTCATTTTCATTTATAGATTCCACTGATGTTTATTATACTATTTCTTTGATGCCCTGTATATTTCAGTACACATTTAAACGTTTTACCAAGTACATATCTCTACACGAAATAATTCAGTTAGTCGTTTATTCTTTGCTAATTTTCTTGTTGCCTAAAAAGTGCAGCATTAAAAAAAAGTTGTAACCATAAAAATCAGCGAAACGAGAAATAAAAATGGCCACGTTTCAAAATACACCGTTTCGGATTCAGTTTTAGGGCGATTTATGTGGGTCATATCGCAATAAAATCAAATTCCGATTCGAAGAGACACGCTCAGATACATTTTTAATCATATTATGGTCGAGAATTTTAGGCTTGATGTTATTCAAGACGGCGCGTTGTGATTTACATGACAATGACCAGTCGTTTTTGCGTATGAGAGAACAATATTAATTTTATTCATTCCGGCCCGTTAACCCACTAATTGATTTTTGTTTCTACAGAAGAATTTAGAAATTTTAACTCGAAATATAAATGGTATAAAAATTATACACTATTTTAACTTTTACTTATAAAATATACATTTTAAAAGCCCTAACTATCAAAATTGTAAAGGTATAATCAGTATTTAAAATACAGAATGATTCACGGAGATGATAGGTTAGATGTTTATCGAGAACCGTTGATATTTTTTTGGAATTTTTGCTCCATCTATCTAAATTATTTTTAATGTTATAGTGTTTTCGCTTTATTTGAAAAGCAGGTTTGTTATTTTAAATGTAACATCCTGTATATCCTTAAATGTAAGTCCATATAATTCAAGGAAGAAATAAAATGGTTAATACTAGCTGTTTAGCCCCAAAGCGATTTACAGCAAGACTAGAAGAAATCTTCTTTCAATCCGACTGGACCAACAAAGGATTAAGACTACATGAAAATTGCCAATAGTTCTGAAGAACTATATACAAGCACAAATTAACGAACTAAATTCAGCCAGCAATAATGCAGGTCTTAAAACGAATTTAGCAAAAACTAAAGTGGTGTACAACGAACTGGTGGACAGAAAAGACAATCTAGTACTTATGGTACTTACGTTTCTATGGTAATAATAATATAGTTTTGTTCTGTATTCGTCATTATTAATTTTGATTAACGTTATATTTTTTACTGTTTTGGTTTTAAAGTAATCACCTTTTCCATAACATGGAACTAAATTAATTTTGTGGTTCTAACATTAATTTAACATTAATAGTAATATAGTTTTTGTTCTGTATTCCTTATTATTAATTTTGATTAACGTTATATTTTTTACTGTTTTGGTTTTAAAGTAATCACCTTTTCCATAACGTGGAACTAAATTAATTTTGTGGTTCTAACATTAATTTAACATTAATAGTAATATAGTTTTTGTTCTGTATTCCTTATTATTAATTTTGATTAACGTCATATTTTTTACGGTTTTGGTTTTACAGTGTTACCCTCTTTATAACATTGAACTAAATAAATTTTGTGGTCCTGTAACATATTAATAGAGCCAACATTACGAGGCTAATCAACATTAATAATAAATATCTATTAAATAATGAAAATTAAATGATATTACCATAGAAAAGCGTTTTGAGTTTTAGGACTTGTCCAAATCTTCCTCGAGTGGTTGGACAGACTGGTTCATTTTTTTTTTCATTTTCACAATTTTGAATGTATTAATTTTGAAGGTTGTAAGCCACGAGATACAATATCCGCAGGATTATCTGGGGAAGGTACATGATGCCAATCGGAATGTTCACTCAAGCACTGAATCTCTGACACTCTGTTGGCTACTAATGTTTTCCATCTGTTAGGTTGATCATTGAACCACGCCAAGACGATTTTAGAGAATCTGCCCAAAAGTAACAAATAACATCAAGTTTCAATGCTTGTCGAACCGTGTTCGTTAATTGAGCTAACAATAACACCACATAATTCTAGCCTCGGTAAAGATATGGTTTTAATCGGTGACACGCCTGATTTAGAACATATCAAATTTGATAAGCTATGACCCATTATCATCGGTCGACACAATATAAAGTAAGTACCGTACGCTACTTCTGATCCATCAGAAAATCCATGTAAATATAATCTTGTCGGT